TTACTTCCTCAGCATCTTTGTCAGACATTTCTTGACCTTTTTTGGCATCTACAAATTCAAATCCTTTACCTGGATTGGGTTCAAAAGCGAGTTTGACCCGAGCAAAATGTCCGCTGCCTCCGGTTTGTTTTTTATATTCTCCTCACACCTCTGCTAATTTTTTAGTAATGGTTTCGCGATAAGATACTTTTCATTGCTTACTTTCAATATTTAATTTGTATTCCCGTCGTAGTCTTTCCACCGTAATCTCTAAATGTAATTCCCCCATTCCGGAAATAATCATTTGCCCGGTTTCTTGGTCTGTTCAATATTTAAAACCCGGGTCTTGGATTTTCAATTTATCAAGTGCTCCTTTCAATTTATCTTTATCTTCATTAGTTTTAGGTTCAATGGCTTGGGAAATCACCGGTTCGGCGAAATTAATTGCTTCTAGCAACAATGGATTCTTTTCTTCTCCAAAAGAATCACCAGTAATAGCATGATCTAAACCAATTGCTACCGCAATATCGCCAGCTCCTACTTCCTTAACGTCTTCTTTTTTATTAGCATGCATACGGACTAGCCGACTTACTCGTTCTTTTTTGTCTCGGCTAACATTGTAGATATAGGAGTTGGCAGATATTTTTCCGGCATAGACCCGAAAAAAAGTTAATTTATTATTGTAATCGTCAAATACGATTTTGAAAGCCAAAGCCAAACAAGGCAAAGGGCTTTTGCAATTTACTACTCCTCTTTGGCTCTTATCCTGAGGTGAGAAGACCGGTATTTCCTCTATATCCAGTGGCGAAGGAAGATAATCCACCACCCCATCTAACAATAATTTAACTCCGACATGTTTATAGGCTGAACCACAGAAAACGGGAAAATACCGGCCGGTCAAGGTGGCTTGACGAAGCATTTTTTTGACTTCTGCCACTGTTAACTCCGCTTTTTTTTCATTCTTTTCTAAGGCTGAAATTAAATTTTCTTCTTCTTCCTTTCGGGCTTGAACTTCCGCTTCAGCCCGTTTTTTTTCTATTTGGTCCAGTAATTTTTCTGATGGGTTTTCAGAAATACTTTTTGCTTCTTTGATTTTCTGGTCTG